TTAGCTTGTTGTTGGTGGCTACTGAGTCACTTTTGACTTATGGTGACCCCTCTTGTAGAGTATAACTTAAAAATCATAGGGTTTTCAAGGCTGTAACTTCTTGGAAGTAGATTACCAGGCCTTTTTTTCCCAAAGGGCTGCTGGGTGGGTTTGAACTGCCATCCTCTTGGCTTGTAGTGGAGTGCTTAACTGTTTGCATCAGCCAGGGACTTTCAGCTTGTAGTTGGGTGCTGTCGACTTAGTTCTGATTCAGTGACCCTGTGTACAACAGAATGAAACACTTCACAGTCCTGAGCCATCGTCACAGTTGTTGTTGTGCTTCAGTCTATTGTAGCCACTGTGTCAATGCGTCTCATTGAGGATCTTCCTCTTTTTCACTGACCTTCTACTTTACCAAGCAGCATATCCTTCTCCAGGGATTGGACCCTCCTGACAGCATGACCAAAGTACGAGAGGCAATCTTGCCATCCTCATTTCTATGAGCATCCTGGCTGTACTTCATACAAGACACATTTGTTCTTCTAGCAGTCCATTTAATATCCTTCACCAACACAACAATGCAAATGTATACATTCTTCTTTGGTCTTCCTTATTCATTGTCCAGCTTTTGCATGCATATGCATTTAACTTTTTACAACATCCAATTTTCCTAGATTCATCCTTCATACATTCCATGCTTACATTATTAGTGGATGTTTGCAGCTGATTCATCCCATTTTGAGTCATGCCACATTAGCAAATGAAGGTCCCAAAAGCTTTACTCCATCCACGTCGTTAAGATCTACTTTAAGGAGCCAGCCCTTCCCCAGTCAAATCTTGAGTGCCTTCCAGCCTGGAGGGCTCGCCTTTTGACACTATATCAGACAGTGTTCCACTGCTATTCCTAAGTGTTTCAGTTGGCCAGTTTTTCAGTAGATTGCTATGTCCCTCTTCCAAGTCTGTCTTAGTCTGGAAGCTCATGACTCTGCTAGTGTTTGAAATACAAGTGATGTAGCTTCCAGCCTTTCCAGCAACATGTATGACAAATGACAGACAAGTGGTGGATATTTCAGCTTAGTTCAGCATAAATACTTATTAAGCACCATCATGTGCTAGACTCTTTCTTGGTCATGCCACTTGGGGTCCTGTGTATCTGCCCTGATCTTAAGTAATCTCTGAATCCCCTTACTTGCATTATGCCCCAGCCACCTGGAAATACACATGCTGTATTCTGAGCAACATTTCAGTGAC